ATTTTTATTTCCCTTCAGAAACTTTTGGGTGGAATTATTCAGATCCTTTTGTGCATCTATGTGTGCACCTTTTTTGCCAGTGTTAAGGCGAAGACTCGATTTTTTGAAGAAAATTTGACCTGATGCTCAAAGTTTCTTTATTTGAGACATGACAGAATGGCTGATTAAAAAAAACATAAATAAAATTTGTCAGTTAAGAATTCGCTTCAGGAAGATGGATAGGAATCAGTCCCTTGATTACTAACTGAGGGGATGATCCAAAAGATTGGTTCCACCCTCGCTTTCCTCGGAGCAGACCTGATTAATTTTCCCTCCCTCCCCTCTATCCCGCCCAATTCTCGTTCCAATTCCCCAGGCGGTGTTCGACAGTTCTGGGTTTAGCTCTTCCCAATAGGGACCAGTGAGGTCCTGCTGCATCTGTGTGGAGCAACGAGGTTGTCTAAACTCTCTGACCAGGTAATGGGCAGGTGACCAGGGCTGGGCAGGTGCCCAGGTGCTGGGCAGGTGACCAGATACTGGGCAGGTGACCAGGTGCTGGGCAGGTGACCAGGTGCTGGGCAGGTGACCAGGTGCTGGGCAGGTAATGAGAGCTAGCCTGGGGGAGAGGTTCACTCACACACTGGGACTTCTCTTACATAAGGTACCAAAAGCGCTTGATAACACAAGGAGTTTAAATATTCATCTACAGCGCCTATCGCTACTCGAACGTGTGCCTATCGCTGCCCGAAGGGAGAGCCTATCGCTCCCCGAGAGGGTGCATATTGCCACCCAAACAGGCACAACTTACAAGCTAGTATCCTGGTGGTCCGCTGGATTCAGATAAACCCTCTGCTCCCCCGATCAGCACGGGCGACATGAAAGAAGAGGGATTATCTACATAGAGTCATAGAAAGCCCGTCTGTGGAGTTAAGCAGGTATATTCTAGTCAATATCAGTTACATTTTTATTGCCAGAAACAATCACGTTTTCAGGGTGTAATTTTCTTTCTACAGTGATAGCTAACAACCACTTAGGGCCAGATAATGACTTCTTTCTTAACATTTTCTTTGAATCACATACTGATTTTGACTCGCATACACTGAGGCAAAATATGAATCACAAATACAAGTAATCTGCAAATGCGTGGCGTATTTTCAAGCGCCAATCTTGATGAGTTGTAGGAAGCGGTAGCGACGCGCTGCAAGACTTGGCAAACTGCCTCAGCGTCTTCAAGTCGTGAGAAGGGATTGAAGCTACAGGTACATCTTCCAGCAACACTATTTATTCAAAACATTGTGCTGTAATTTTTTTTTTTTTTTTTTTTTTTTTGCCTTGACACCTCTTAATCTTAGAAATTATTCAATGGGACAAAAGATTTGGATATGTAACTATGTGATTTCACTAGTGTCGTAGCTTGTCTGAGTACCAATAATAGAGTCATGGGGTAATTTTATTCTAATAATGAGAAATACCCTTCATGTGAAGAGCATCAAAGTGATTATGTCATTTGTCGGTTTCTCGCACACTAAAGTTCCCGACGGGATATTTACGAGAACTTCTACAACAGAAGTCTCGAAGGCGAGTTCTGGATCGGATATTCGGGAACACTGAGTAGAACTTGTGAAGGAAAAGAACACATGCACACATACACAAACACACACGTATAAGTGAATATTACACACAGACACACTTGCCTCTGGACAGCTACTTTTTGATTGATATATTTCTTAGAAACACTTCGACAAAACGAAGCGGTTATATATGGACTGGAAAACACATGACTTTCTTCTATAAGGATTACTCAAAGGCTGTGATTGGAGGGCTAAAAATGTTTTTTTAAGACTCGTCAATTGAAATTTTGCATTTCCCAACATTATGCAAATTGGCAAATATATAATGCAACACTTTTAATAACAAAGTGGCAAAAACTGTAATACTTTTACACAGAGAACATTATTCACGTGCTTTATGTTTGCTATAATTTTCTTTTGCACTATGTATGTATATCCCTAAAAAGAATCCAATAGTTCAAATAACATGGATATCCTTACAATAATAAGATTTTACCACTAATATGCACCATCACTGTAAATGTTTTTGAAAGAACAAATCAAGATACTTATTTCATAAAATAAGTTCTATTACTGAACACTCTTGTCAATGATTGCAAACTGAACACACGTCAATGATTACAAGCTAATCACACGTAAATAATTACAACCTAATCACATGTCTCGTCAATTATTCCAAACTAAAGCATATTTTTATCAATGACTACAAGCAAATCGTGAAACACTGAGGCCGTTTTAGCGCATAACTTGATTTTTCCCATGGCTGTGATTCGGAAGTTGACGCTGACGACAGAGAATCACACTGACGCATTCAGTACAACAGTAATGTGTAATCTTCGGGACGTGGGAGAGTTTATTTAGCATATGATTTTTTGCCTAATTTTGTAGTTTCACTAGAGACAAGATGATTTTGGAACTTTTCTCTGTTCGAGACACAGCGGGAAGTGGACAAGGACAGTGACTGAGGTTGTCAACACGAGATGACTCTTCGAGATAGCGCAATATGGAACAGGACAGCGTTCAAGGCTTCGAGACACAAGGATATGGACCAGAATAGTGTTCGAGGCTTCGAGACAGCGGGATGTGTACCAAGACAGCTCTCGAGGGTGTCAACACGAGGTGACTCGACAACACACAAATATGGTGGCAACGCTATGGGTGGTCAGCGAAGTCGTGGTCCGGACGTTCCCACGATTTTTTCCGGATTCTGGTTATGCTGGGGGCCGTCAGAATAAAGATTTGCTGATGTTAAGAACGGCCTAGACACGGCGACGGCCGCCTCACCGACCCCCGCCGCCATTATTCTCTCTACCCACACGAATTCGTTGTAGTGGTTCCAGCGGTCTTCTTCATTGTCCATACCAGGCTTCTTGTCCACCATAATACGCCTGCAGTGCTGTTGCCGCAGGAACCCAGCACTTGTATCCGGCCAAGACAAGCATATCGAAGGCTTGCTCCAGGAAGGTGTGCTTCAAGAAGAACCTTGCAGTGTACGATCTGTGGCTCCACGGTCGGGATCCCGCGATTCATTCAATGTTTCACCAAAGACTTCACGACAAAGCGTCACTCGTCCGCACACGAGGATACGACTCAGCTTTCTAAATTTAACGTCAGCGAGTCCGTCACGTCCAAACGCAAAAGTGCCGCGGTAACTCACGGTGATAGTACCGGCGGAGGTTCGGACTGAGTAAGCGGGGTCCACTGGACTCAGAGACTTCGGCAGTGAGAGAGAATCAATCATATCTTGGAGCTGAAAGAAATCCGCCTCTTTCTTGAGTCTCTCGCGCTCACTGAAGTTTTCAGGTAACACGAGCTTCTGGTTCCGTAAGAAGTCGAGTATGTACCTGAAGAGCACACCGTCACGATCTACAAAAAACTTTCCTTTCGAGTCCCTCAGCACCGGCGTCTTGGTCTTTCCACTGAACATCTGGCCGAGTAAACTGTCAGGTTCTCGCTGCAGTGTGGTCAGTGCTGTTGTGTAGAACACTCCTCCCACGTTCAGTTCCACGATGGGCGGAAAGACCTGTACGATGGAATTCATACCCTGCCCTGGCTGCTGTTCCGTTGTGGTCTGCCCGCTGTTGGAGGAGACGGAGGAGGAGCAACTGTTGGTGGCGGCGCCGTTTGTGGCCATGGTGGTGGGGATGGTGTGTGGGAGAGGGAAGGTGTGGTGTGGGTCGAGGCGGCCGCGAGAGTGAGGCAGCCAGTCAATACCCGACACCACCTCCCGTCCCGCGCACACCTACACGCACGCATGAACACATATACTCACGCACGCCAGTTTCACGCATACACAAACGCACATGCTTGTGTAAGTTAACGTGCATGTCACCGTTCTCACATGAGAAGGAAGAGAATAACACATCTGCAGATAAACACACAGGCACACGAGGATGGTGGCGCACAATTACCTAAAATTCCGCGGCATTTGTGGTCAGCACGAAGATTCTTGCTAACAACTGCCCTTGCAAAGTGCATTCATGCTTGTGAAGGGCTCTTGATCCAAGGAATTATAGCTACTCTTCCTCCCTTGGATCGAACCTGATTACTTCCCATTCATCAAGGGTTAAGCCAATATCCCGGGTTTAGCGCTTCCCGGCGATTATTGATTTTTTTTTATTGACAACACAAGTAATATTGAGGTGATTTAAATGTTAAGAAGTACACATATGAGGCACCTACGTCTGTTTTGTTTAGCTTCCCCACCCCCTCCCCCTGCCCTGGGACCCCCTAACTCCATCAACACCCCGTCCCTCACCCTGCCAACATCTCCCTCCCACATGCCACCCCCCCGCCTCCCTCACCAACTCCCCATATCACTTAATCAACACCTTCCCTCATCCCTTTACATACACATGTACGCACCAGCCAACACACTACGCATACATGTACGCACCGATGCACTACACACGTGTATGAACGAACCAAAGCACAACACGACCAGAGCTTCAGCATGCGTATGCTTTTCTACTTAACAAAATGTTCACTACAGCAACCCGCTTAACCCGAGACAGTTATAGGGCTTAAACTGATAACAACAACAACAACAACACAACAACAACAACAACAACAACAACAACAACAACGACAGCAACAACAACAACAACAACAACATAAAAATCAATAATAATAAAATTAATAATAATAATAATAATACTAACGAAGATTTCCATCCTCAAAACCAACAACTAAATTAAATCAAAACAACAAAAACCAAAAAAACCCACAACACAACAAAAAAAAACCAAAAAAACACATAAAAACCAAAAACAACACAGGGAAAAAAACAAAACAAAATTAATAAAAAAATTTAAA